TAAGTTTAATGGAGCTAATGCAAGTATTACTGTTTGCTGTTAAATTTTCATGCTTTTAAAAGGAAAAAATTCTAGTAAGGACAAATAGTTGTAATCTATAGTCCAGACTATAGGGTATAGAGCAGACTATAGTATATAGTCTAAAATGCAAACTATAGTCTATAGTGCAGACTATAGTGCAGACTGTAGGCTTTAAACTATAGTTCAGAATATAGGCTATAGTGGAGACTGTAGTATATAGCCTGCAGACTATAGCGCAAACTTCAGTCTATACTTCAGACTATACCCAATAGTCCAGACAATAGTATATAGTCAAGACTATAGTTTATAGTCCAGACAATAGTTTATAATCCAGACTATAGTCTATGACTATAGACTATTATAGTCTATGACTATAGACTATTGTCTATAGTCATAGTCTGTAGTCCAGACTATAGTCTAAAGTCCAAACTGTAGTTTATAGTTCATACTATAGTCTATAGTCCAGACTATAGTCTATAGTCCAGACTAAAGTCTATAGTCCAGACTATAGTCTATAATCCAGACTAAAGTCTATAGTCCAGACTATAGTCTATAATCTAGACTATAGTCTATAGTCCAGACTATAGTCCAGACTATAGTCTATAGTCCAGACTATAGTCTATAGTCCAGACTATAGTCTATAGTCCAGACTATAATCTATAGTCCAGACTATAGTCTATAGTCCAGTCTATTGTCCAGACTATAGTCTATAGTCCAGACTATAGTCTATAGTCCAGACTATAGTCTATAGTCCAGACTATAGTCTATAGTTTATATAGTCAGGTAGTCAAAAGTATAGTCAATTGTCCAGACTACCATCTATTAGCCACACTACAGTCTATGATCCAACATATAGTTCAGACAGTAGGCTACAGTACAAACCGAATTTCTTATAAAAAGTCCTTTTATTGTTTATAAATCAGATTTTTCAGCAAAAATTTCACTAAAAATTTATATATCACTAAAAATAAAAACTTCACCAAATCCAATTTTCAAAAACTAAAAATCGAATTTTTTTGTTAAAATCCAAATCAAGACAAAAAGACAACTTTTTCACTAAAAATTTGTAGATTTACTTAAAATCCCATTTTTCACTGACACACAACCTTAATTTTATACTCAATCATTGCTAACAAACTACTAATCACTGAACAAAATTACAAATATCCATAACCCAGAAAAACTTTTTTCTCATTGTGAACGATATTTGTAACAAAATTCCAATGTGATTGATGGAAACTCCTTTGATTGTGACAAGTGTATTTATACAATGAAACTAAAAAATTACACTAATCATTTGTAATAAAAGTATTTATTAAAAATTAACAACAAAAGACTTATCAAACTGTATATAGTATCATTAACAACTAATTAAGAAGATAAAATAAACAGCAAATTTACTAGAGCGTATTAGTAATATATTTCTATTATTACATAAATCATACGCTCAGTAGTAAAAATATTTTGTAAACAAATTTATTATTGTTATTTAATATTTAATAATAATGAATACACAACTTACAAAAATAAACCGAAAATAAATATTATATAGTTTGTTGTAATACAAGGACAATAGATTTTTTTATGTGTGTGTGTGTTTCAAAATATAAAAAATATATAACTCATACTTATGTATAGTGTGTAACTTAATAAGTACAAAAATGAGAGCATTACAAAATTATTGTTTTACATAAGTACATAAGTGTTGTAATACACAGCACGTACTGGAAAAATCGTTCATAAATTTCCTTGTATTATCAGGAATTTTACAAAATTCCACTTCATTTCACAAATAAACTTCTTTTTTAGCAAAAATAAAGTAGTGGATGTTCGTCAAGGAAAAATATATAAAATCTAATGCCAAAATTTTAAAAGAAAATTTCCAGAAAACTTTTATTGAAAATAAATAGTTTTATTTTTGTATAAATGATGTCCTTGTTTTTTGGCAAAAGTGTTAAAGTAAAACAGGAAGCGTAATCGATTTAAAAAGGAAAAGCCAAAATACAGAAAAAGCAACTGTAATGAAATTTTTTGAATACAATCTAAATTATAGAAATAATTTCAGTTTAATTATAACGAATATTCTTTTATCATATAAAATTTTTATTTTAGCAAAATGTAAATGAAGAATAGCAGGAAAACTTTATTTTCATTTTAAAAACAGCCTTCAAACACCCACACACATATAAATTTTTGAATTTGCAAATAAATTTCCACCTTCAAGTGTTTGTTTAAAACCAACATAGTGTAATAGGGAGGAGATAGAGGGGAGTGTGAAGACAAAAGATACAGAATGTGTAAGAGTAAATTCTAAACATCTGCTAAACAATAATAAAACTAACAATTAAAATAATGCACTAGTATGTAAAACTATAAATAAAATAAATTATACCTACACACACACACATATGCAACCACAAATACGCACTAACTATTTATATACACACGTATGTGTGTATACACTCAAAACAACTGTTCATGACTTGCCACAAACCATCAAACAAAATAAATTTACATTTAAACTAGTTCTTTAGATTTTTATTTAAGAAAAAAATAATAATTTATTAAGAAACCACAGATTCTGCCTAGGAAATGATCTTTAAAGAAAAACAGCAAAATATTATTTCATAAATCTGTTTCTGAAAGGTCTTAGAAGACATATAGAAATTTATTTAATATTATTTTTAAATGTACATACATAACAATTTATTATAAAAATATGACAATCAAATCATGTTAAACAATCAATAAAATAATTGATTTTATAAAGCACTACTCTCTTCTCTTATTTTATTTCGTATAATGTTAGTGACAAGTATTTTGCCCAAATGATTTTATAATGTGCAAAACAAAAACATTAAATTAATGAAAATTTTCCATTAAAATAAATTAAAGTTTATATGCTGCTGTATATAAAGTTTAAGGATTGAAGGAATTAGGAAAATATATCTAATAAATTAAATCAATTGTGTTATTTGGGTTTGAATCCGATACAAAAAAAGCACTAAATATAATTAAGAAATAAAGAAATAATGGATCAAATTGGCAACAAATAGCTTATCCTTGACATTTTAAATATGTAGCCTGTAGACAAGAACATCGTCAATAGACGAGGGTATCACTTACAGTCCAGACTATTGTCTATGGATCAGGGTATCGCCAATAGTCCAGATTATAGTCCATAGTCCAGACTATAGTCTATAGTCCAGACTACAGTCTATAGTCAAGACAAAAGTCTATAATCCAGACTAAAGTCTATAATCCAGACTATAGTGTATAGTCCAGACTATAGTCTATAGCCCAGACTATAGTCTATAGTCCAGACTATAGTCTATAGTCCAGACTATAGTCTATAGTCCAGACTATAGTCTATAGTCCGGACTATAGTCTATAGTCAAGACTATAGTCTATAGTCCCGACTATAGTCTATAGTCCAGACTATAGTCTATAGTCCAGACTATAGTCTATAGTCCAGACTATAGTCTATAGCCCAGACTGTAGTCTATAGTCCGGACTATAGTCTATAGTCCAGACTATACTCTATAGTCCATACTATAGTCTATAGTCGAGACTATAGTTTATAGTCCAGACTATAGTCTATAGTCGAGACTATAGTTTATAGTCCAGACAACAGTCTATAGTCCAGACAATAGTCTATAGTCCAGACAATAGTTTATAGTCCAGACTATAGTCTATAGTTCAGACTATAGTCTATAGTCCAGACTATAGTCTATAATCCAGACTATAGTCTATAGTCCAGACTATAGTCTATAGTCCAGACTATAGTCTATAGTCCAGACTATAGACTATAGTCCAGACTATAGTCTATAGTCCAGACTATAGTCTATAGTCGAGACTATAGTCTATAGTCAAGACTATAGTCTATAGTCCAGACTATAGTCTATAGTCGAGACTATAGTTTATAGTCCAGACTATAGTCTATAGTCGAGACTATAGTTTATAGTCCAGACAACAGTCTATAGTCCAGACAATAGTCTATAGTCCAGACAATAGTCTATAGTCCAGACTATAGTTTATAGTCCAGACTATAGTCTATAGTCCAGACTATAGTTTATAGTCCAGACTATAGTCTATAGTCCAGACTATAGTCTATAGTCCAGACTATAGTCTATAGTCCAGACTATAGTCTATAGTCCAGACTATAGTCTAAAGTCCAGACTATAGTCTATAGTCCAGACTATAGTCTATAGTCCAGACTATAGTCTATAGTCCAGACTATAGTCTATAGTCCAGACTATAGTCTATAGTCCAGACTATAGTCTATAGTCCAGACTATAGTCTATAGTCCAGACTATAGTCTATAGTCCAGACTATAGTCTATAGTCCAGACTATAGTCTATAGTCCAGTCTATAGTCTAAAGTCCATGCTGTAGTCAAGACTATAGTCTTTAGTCCAGATTATAGTCTATAGCCCAGACTATAGTCTATAGTCCACTCTATAGTCTACAGTCCAGACTATAGTTTATAGTCCAGATAATAGTATATAGTCCAGACTATAGTCTAGTATCCAGTCTATAGTCCAGTCTATAATTCAGACTATAGTCTATAGTCCATAGTCCAATCTATAGTCTATAGTCCATTCTATAGTCCAGTCTATAGACCAGTCTATAGTCCAGACTATAGTCCAAACCATAATCTATAGATCAGAACAGTTTTGCGGTAATTGTTATACAAGTCCAGAATTCTGGTGACTTTATATGGAAAAGTAAATTTTCGTAATAATTAGATGTTTCGTTTATTTCAAAGCAACGAGGAATATCGGGATATCGGGAAGAATATACATATATCCAAAAAATTAAAATTTATACACCGTTTCTGGAGATAATTAACAATTTGTTGAATCTTTAAGCCAATAATATGCTGATACATATACATATATTTACTCCAAATTCTTTCAATAATATTAAAAACTTTAAATATGTCTTATGAAATTACTAATAATTAAATTTTCAATTTCTAGTAGTAAGCGATCATCATGCCACCAAATGAAGTGACAGTCGATGAGCCAAAACCAGCGCCTGAAGTGGAATCAGCGACTGCAGAACTAGAAACAGCAGATCAAAAAGCCGAAGAAGCAACACAGCATTCAATATTTCGAGAAAATGCACATCAACCAGTTGGAGAAAATCAAAAAATTATACCCAACATAGTAGAAACGACACAAACCCCACTAGGCACAACAGAAGGAGAACCAGGTTGAAACCAAAAACAACACAAACTTAAATACTAAATCCAACTAATTTTTCTTTTTTTGATATACACAGAAGAGACTACTACTAAGACCTCAGTGTTACAAAAAGTCGAAAATGCTGGTGAACGTGTTACCATTGCAATTGCTGATAAAACTGGTCTACCCACATGGGGTGTGGTGGCCATTATTATATTGGTATTCCTGGTTGTCTTCGGCATTATATTCTTCTGTGTACGAAGATTCTTAAAGAAGCGACGAACTAAAGATGGTAAGGGTAAGAAGGGTGTTGATATGAAATCGGTACAATTATTAGGATCAGCGTACAAAGAAAAAGTAAGTATCAAATGCGCTATTAAATCTTAATAGTTATTGGGTTCTGGTATGTCATAGGTTCAGCCTGATATGGAGGAACTCACCGAAAATGCTGAAGAAGGCGGCGAAGAGGATAAAGAAAGTGAACAAAAATTAGGCAGACTGAATTTTAAGGTAAATTTCATAGTTAAAAAATATTTAACAAACAGACTCTTCATACAATCTCTTGCTATATAACTTACTATATGATAATTATTATAATGATAATGATGATGATGATGTTGTATAAATACTATGTGTTGAATATTTATAACAAAAAGACACTTGATTACAAGAACAATAATTTCTACAAACATACTTACAGTTAAATATGTTCACATGTACAGAAGCATAATAACAATGTATGTGTAAAAAAGGGTAATAAGAAATGTATTACACAAGGTTTTTCTTTCCTGTTTGGTTTTTTCTAATTTTTTTTTCTTAAGAAAATATCAATAATTCCATGGCACACTTTTAAAAATATATTCATACTTGTTTTATAGTCAGTCAGTCAGTCAGTCGTACATACAACATAATCTCATGTACCAACCAGCCACCACCACATTAATTCAATTGGTTTTCAATGTTAAACAAATTTTACATAATTATCATAATATGACTTGAATATAAATTTATGTGTTTTATACTAATACTAAATGAATTAATTATGGGTATTAATGCTCCTTCGTTACTGGTTTATACAGAACTTTAAAAGAATGATTTAAAGAAATTGTTAGAATGTAAATTCTTCCCATGAAAATTTTTGAAATTTTATATCACATTCGAGTCATTAACGATCTTATAATACGATGAAAATGATCATATATATACGTGCTCATATTCACATCATAAATGATCATTTTGTCGCAAGAATCTGGTTCCCTACACTGCGACTCTCCCAAAAGAAACTTTTATGAATAGTTCTTCTGATCGGTTTCGACATATTTTTCCATCGTAATAAAACAGTTTGTGATTGATATTTTGAATAGAACTTCTTTAAAACATTAGCGTCGATCATTAATCAATCAGGTTCAGTTCATCAAAAGAACTCGAAGAAGACTCAGTTCGGTTATTAGTTATCCCATAATGTTGACGGTATTAATACTTAATAGCTAAAGAAGTTTTCTTATTAAAAGAAGCAGCTATTATTACTTTGTAATGCTATAGGTAATCAGACAGTATTGACTTGCTAATATAACGATTTATTGAGTGAAAAAATGTATTCCTTTAGTACACAAATCCTCAATTAGAAAACTTAATAGAAGAAAATTTCAAAACTTAAAAGTTTCAATCACAAAAACTTCCGACCATTAATATTCCATTCACAAATTCTTTGATCCATCACACATAAACCATATAGACAAATACAACTCAAACATAATATTCACACATTTAAAACATATTAAACATTAAAAACATAAAATTAACTTTTAAAGTTTATAAACTAATTTGAAATTTTCCATTTTATTCCTTTCTAAAATGCTATACCTTGGAAATTTTCTACTAATCGATACAAATTACGGATCACAATTAAATTTGAATGATCTTCCTTTATACATATTATTTTTGGTTTCCTTTATTTGTTTCTTTCTATTTTTCTCTTGTCATTTCGAAAATAGCTTGAATATGATTTCAATTCGAACAGTTTAGCCGTAACTGTTATACAAGCTGAAGAATTGCCAGCTTTAGATATGGGTGGTACCTCAGATCCTTATGTTAAAGTTTATCTGTTGCCAGATAAGAAAAAGAAATTCGAAACAAAAGTACATCGTAAGACACTAAGTCCAGTTTTTAATGAAACATTTACATTTAAGGTGGGTGATTAGCACACTTACACACACAAAGTGGTTAATTTATTTTGCTAAAAAAAAGAAATACTAATCTTAAATATTTATTTTTTTATTATAAAAGAGTTTACCCTACGCTGATGCCATGAATAAGACTTTAGTATTTGCCATCTTTGATTTCGATCGTTTCTCAAAGCACGATCAAATTGGTGAAGTTAAGGTACCACTGTGCACAATCGATTTGGCGCAAACAATTGAGGAGTGGCGTGATTTGGTCAGCGTCGAAGGTGAAGGCGGTCAGGTAAGAAGAATTTTTATTTATTTTTATAAATATTACGTCTTTAAACAACAGAAACTTAAACATATATTATCAGCAATACCAAAATTTAGTCAAGATTTAAAAAAAGTGTGTATTCAGTTTTTTGCGGTAACACCATAAAAGTTTCTTCATGAAAAAAAAGATTTTATGAATGTGTGAATGTTTTGTGTGCGTATTTTAAATAATAAATGTTAAATATTAAAAAGAAAATTAGGGTGGCACTAAATTTGGCTGTCTGTAAAACATGTTGCAAGTGAGTTCTTTATGGTCTAAAACTAAACATACTCAAAGAAAGGTGTTAGACTTATTCTAGACTCTCATTTCCATATAGATTATTTCTTAGCTTTAGATTGAACATTTAAAAGATTACTCAGTAGTAATGATCAGTATATAACCTCTTTATTGTCTGAAAGAGTCTTTGTCATCTACGAAAGTTAAGAGTAATCGAGTTTCATTATGAGGGACATTATGGTATAGAATAGTTAAAGTTGTCATTTACACCTGACAACTTTTCCTTTAGACTTAATAGTCTGCGTTTTCTGAAAACGAATATCCCAAGAGTTAAATTTGCATGATCATACACTGAAGTTTCTGAGAGCCAAGTTTGAAATATTTAAGATCATCTTCTTCATCTTTAAGGTCTAGACGATAGACTGAACTATAGACTGGACTATAGACTAGACTACAAACTAGACTACAGACTGAACTAAAGACTAGACTATAGAGTAGACTATAGAAGAGACTATAGACTAACTATAGACTAGACTATAGACTAGACTATAGACTAGACTATAGACTATAGACTAGACTATAGACTAGACTATAGACTAGACTATAGACTAGACTATAGACTAGACTATAGACTAGACTATAGACTAGACTATAAACTAGACTATAGACTAGACTATAGACTAGACTATAGACTAGACTATAGACTAGACTATAGACTAGACTATAGACTAGACTACTATAGACTAGACTATAGACTAGACTATAGACTAGACTATAGACTAGACTATAGACTAGACTATAGACTAGACTATAGACTAGACTATAGACTAGACTATAGACTAGACTATAGACTAGACTATAGACTAGACTATAGACTAGACTATAGACTAGACTATAGACTAGACTATAGACTAGACTATAGACTAGACTATAGACTAGACTATAGACTAGACTATAGACTAGACTATAGACTAGACTATAGACTAGACTATAGACTAGACTATAGACTAGACTATAGACTAGACTATAGACTAGACTATAGACTAGACTATAGACTAGACTATGACTAGACTACTATAGACTAGACATAGACTAGACTATAGACTAGACTATAGACTAGACTATAGACTAGCTATAGACTAGACTATAGACTAGACTATAGACAGACTATAGACCTAGACTATAGACTAGACTAGAGAACCTAGACTATAGACTATACTATAGACTATATAGACTAGACTATAGAACTAGACTATAGACTAGACTATAGACTAGACTATAGACCACTATAGACTACTATAGACTAGACTATAGACTCAGACTATATACTAGACTATAGACTAGACTATAGACTAGACTATAGACTAGACTATAGACTAGACTATAGACTAGACTATAGACTAGACTATAGACTAGACTATAGACTAGACCTATAGACCTAGACTATAGACTAGACTATAGACTAGACTATAGACTAGACTATAGACTAGACTATAGACTAGACTATAGACTAGACTATAGACTAGACTATAGACTAGACTATAGACTAACTATAGACTAGACTATAGACTAGACTATAGACTAAGACTATAGACCTATAATAGACTATAGACTAGACTATAGACTAGACTATAGACTAGACTATAGGACTAGGCTATAGACTAGACTATAGACTAGACTGTAGGATGTTTTCCAGGGCCAGGTTTTAGATACTAATAATATCTGTAGAGATCTTCCCACATTAGTTTTAGACCAAAAACAACTCAACTCCAAACAGAATGTCATCCTAACCAAACTACCATTTAAATTAAACATAAAAACAAAGTGTTTAATAATAAGCTAAAACTACTCAAAATTATTAATAAATTAAAAAAATAAACAACCACAACAAAAACAAATAAATTAATAATAAATAAAATCAAACTTTTTGACACACCCAGTTCAAAATGTAACATTCATACCAAAATAAACATATTTACTAAAAAATTATGTTATATTTGGTGAATTTAAAAGAAAAAAACAAACAATTAAAACAACAAATAACTTAAGTAATTATAGTCATTCAGAAAACTAAAAAATTAAACAAGGAATTTCAAAAACAACAGCAACAACAACAATAACAAAAGAAATTTTTTATTAAAAAAAAACACGAAAATTTTACTTTTCAGTTACTTTTGTTATAAAAATTTAGTTTAATAAAATTAATTTTGGTTTTTATTTTTTTTTTTTTTTTTAATTATTTTTTCTTTTAAAATTTGTTATTTATTACTTAGACAGACAAAATAATACAAACAAATAATTCTATTTTTAAACTAATTTTCTTTTCTAATTCTTAATTTCCTTTCCCCCCCAAAAAAAACTCCTTTGATTTTTCAACCTTTTTAGAAGGTAATTACAATTAACAATATTAAACAAAAAATGTTGTACAAAATCAAACTCTTTTAAACTTTGCTCTCCATATATTCAATATATTAATTTTCATTTTTTTGTTTTAATTTATTTTTGTCTCAAAATAATGAACATTTAATTATTTTAACACACTTTTGCATTTGAATCCAAACAATATCCAAAAAAAAATTATATATAAATTATACTAATTTTTTTCTTATAATCTCCAAATAACAACAAAATAAATCAAATTTTATAATCTTTCTCTAAACCACTTTTAACATTAATTATCAATTATTTTTATTTAATTTAAAACATTTAATTTTTTTTTTAATAAATTGTAATGTTTATTAGTTTTTTTCTTCTCTCTCGCATTAAATACTCGCAGCATCACTAATATTGTAGTTGAAAGTTTGTGTTTTAATTTGTTTTATAAAAGCATTTACTTTTTTAATAATACTTTAATATTTCAAAATTATAACTAAAAATGAATGATGAATTTTTATTAAAAAAATTTACACATTTGTGTACTTGCATTTAGTTCTGTTATGCCTAATGTTTTTAAAGAGACTTTTGATAAAACGAGCGATAGGTAGAGTTGTAACTGGAAATAAATTTAAATTTATTGTTTAAAAACCTATCGATCTCTTAAAGAATTGTCTCTAATGGTGTGGTCTTTTTTTAAGCAAATATTAACGAAATAAATGTGACAATTTAAACAAAATTTTAAAAAATTTTACTAATTCTTTATTTTCAAGTCACGCTGATTTCGTGTAATATTTTTGCCATACCTCTGGTTATGTTTCATGTTATGCAGTTTGTTAGTTTAAAAGTATTAAAAAATTTTCGTTTAAATTTTTATAAATTTACTTACAAAAAAACAACAAATATTTTTGCTACAATATTAGTTTGTACGAGATCAATATTTACATGTAATTAAAATGTCAGTAGAATATAACGATCAGTCTATGCGATCCCCTACTCATGTAATGAGGAAGTAGTGTTTGTAAACATTCGATCTATGTCCATACATGAGAGTTGTATTCCATTATTTATCCAATATTTAAGATCCTGTCGTTATCATAAAATATAATCAAGCATAAAAAAGGAAAAACCTAAATAATCGGACAATGATGTTTTCCAAGAACCAAATTTGAAAAATGTAAGATCATCACAAGCAAGATAGATCCTTGAAAGTGTGTTTATAGAATTGATCGTTACCTAAGATCAGACAATGAAGTTTACAAAAGCCAAGTTTGCTAAGTTCAAGATCGTCTCTACCACAAGCATATTCCAAAATAGATTCTGGATAGTGTCTGTAGATCAGACAATGAAGTTTAGAACAGCCAAGTAGTACAGCCAAGTGCAGAGTTTAAGATCGTTTCTACCACAAGCATATTCAAAAATAGATTCTGGTTAGTGTCTGTAGAGAATAGGTCGTTATAAGAAATGAAAATGAAGCATCTAAGAGCAAAAGCTGCACGATCAGACAGTAATGTTTCCTAAGATCCAAGTTTGAAAAATATCAGATCAGAGGGTCTCCATCACATAAGATTAGATATAGAATCTACATAAGTTCAGACTATGATATTTGAAAGTGCCAAGTGTACAGAGTTTAAGATCGTCTCCATCAAATGAATGTTTAAAAATAGATAATGAATAGTAACTATAGAGATCTTGTCCTTAATAAACAATTAAAATCAAGCATCCAAGAGTAAAAGCGATGATCAGATAATGACGTTTTCTAAGTCAAGTTTGAATATTTTAAGATCATCTCCATCATAATCATGTTTAAAGATAGATCCTTGAGAGTGTGTGTATAGAAAAGATCGTTATCAGTATTCGTCGATTGTAAAACACAATTCAAATGATCTAGATCTACATTAAATTAAATGGAGTTTCTATATAAGATCAGACAATGATGCATTCTTAAACTTCCTCGTCTTCATTTAAGAAAGTTTGAGATTTCCTTCTCAAAGTCTCCAGTTTTCAATAACATTGAAGATCATATCGGATCGTGTACGATCTATACTTTGAACTGGCCGTTCTCGCTGCCCAGTTATTATTATCCATAAACAGACTCTGGCGACCAAAATTATATTAACCAATGATTGTTGGATCGATGACGCCTGTTACAATAACATTAAAGATCATATCGAATCATATACGAAATATATTTTATACTGATCCCTGCTTTAATAGTAAAATGCCAATCGCGCTGTCAGATCATTTAATATGCTGAATAAATAGACTTTAGCGTTCAAACAAGTTAACAATAGAATGTCATTCGTGCTGTCAGATCATTTAATATGCTGCATAAAAAGACTGTGGCGATCAAATAGCTTTAACAGTAGAATATCATTCGAGCTGTCAGATCATTTAAAATGCTGCATAAAACGACCTAAGATGATATAAATTATGTTTACAAAAGATTAATCGCGATTGTACGAATATATGTTTAAACAATC